CCACCTTTGGCCATTGTTTCAAAATATGTATAATCTTGCTAAACGTACTCAGACCATTTGTTGATCTCATTTTAGCACCTGTGTTTCCAAGGGAAGTAATCCAAAGTGGGAGGAAGGTCATTTGTCAAGATCATGCATGCTAACATATGTCCGAGAGATGTGACTAAACCGTTTGCTGCATTCCTCAGCTGGAATACTGCAGCCATTCATGCTTTCTGTAACTATATCGCAGACAACTGGGCCACCTTCAACTTGTACCTTACATTCTAAAACGGGAAATGATAACTACAGCAATGTAAAAACATGAAGTTGTCTCTATTTCAGGTTATCTCTGAATTTCATTTTTAAAAGAAGTTTTGGAAAGTAGGAGTAGAAGAGTGAGGTATGAAAGTGAGCCTCATCACCCTTTCAAAACAAGCCCCAGATGTTAGCATTTTGATGCTTGCTTTGTTTCCACCTGTGCATATACCATGGCCGTCATGGCAATGAAGACTGCTAACATTTACTGAACATTTCCTGTGTTCTGAGCGATGCAGTGTGCATTCTTTCTAATTCAGATTGTAGCTTGTCTGTTAGAAAGCATATACCTGATACACTCTCTGAATACACACACTGCCGTGTATCATCCTGAAATCAATCTCTTAGGTAGATACTGCTCTTACCCCGTTTTTAGAGGAGGAGATGGAATCTTAGGGAAATGAGACTATTATGTCAATTAAGGAATTGATTTACTAAATTAAAGTATGTCGCCATCCCTGAGGTGGCCATGTAGAAAGTAAATTGCAGAACTGGTTTGGTTTTGTTTTGAAATAGCTTTGTTGCACCTACTTTGCAATTCATGCACTCAAAGTATGAAATTCATTGGTTATCATCACAATCAGTTCTAGAACAAGACTCTTCATCCTGGAAAACGAAATGCTGGACCACTGAGCTGCCCCTTCCCAACTTCCTGTCCGGTGTCCAGCCATAGTCTGCTCTGTTGGAATACTCACCTGTTCTGGGCATTCCGTGCTGGTTGTTGTGTCTGGCTTGTTTCACTTGTAATGTGTCCAAGGTTCATCCTAGTTCATGTGTCAGCACGCCACTCAGTTGGGATTGCTGCTGAATACTGTGTTGTGTGACTAGGTCAGATTTTGCTGGCCCACTCAGGAGATGATGGGCATGTGGGTTGTTGCATGTGCAGGTTTTTCTGTGGATGATTGCTGATTTCTCGGAGTGGGATTGCTAGGTCAGCGCTGGACTGACTGTAAGGTCAGTTTAAATCACAAGGTGGAGTTGGTGCCGACCCATAACGACCCTGTACAGGGTTTCCAAGGCTGCAAATCTCTGCGGGAGCAGAAAGCCTCATCTTTCTCCATGGAGCAGCTGGTAGTTTCGAACTGCTGACCATGAGATTAGCAGCCCAATTTGTAACCACTATGCTACAAGGAGCTCTGGTAGCATAGTGGTTACGAATTGGGCTGCGAACCTTAAGGCCAGCAGTTCGAAACTACCAGCTGCTCCGCGGGAGAAAGATGAGGCGTTCTGCTCCCGTTAAGATTTACAGCCTCGGAAACCCTGTACAGGGTCGCTATGGGTTGGATCCGACTCGATGGCACTTAACAACAACAATGCTACCAGAGCTCCTTCTGCTAAGCTTGCAGCCCAGGAAACCTATGGAGCAGTTCTGCTCTGTAAAATACAGGCTCACCTATGAGTCAGAATCAACTTAACGCCAATGAATTTAGTTTGTTTACTGGATATAAAGTTCTCCAGTCTGTGGGTGGTTTTCTCCCTCATTGTGGTGTACATTTCCCTGATAGTTAACGATGCTGTGTATCTTTTCGCATGCCGTTTTAAAAACTGAGTTGTGTTTTGTTATTGAATTGTAGGTGTTTTTTATATATTCCGGATACCAGTTCCTTATCGGAGATACAGTTTACAAATCTTTTTCTCTCGCTTTGTGAGTTGTCTTTTTACATCCTTGTTTCTGTTGTTTGAAGTCTAATTTGTATAAGTTAATAGGAGGAGCTCTGGTAGCGTAGTGGTTACGAATCAGACTAACTCAAGGTCAGCAGTTCCATGCTTACCAGCTGTTCTGTGGAAACAAGATGAGGCTTTCTGCTTCAGTAAATATTTACAGCCTTGGAAACCCTGTACAGGGTCGCTATGAGTCAGAACCGACTCCACGGCACAGAACCACCACCAATAGAATTGGATTAAAAAAATCATGGAAATTTTCCATAAACGTTTTGCAGCTCCGTCGTATTTTATCTCTTGTGCTTTTGGTATCGTATATAAGAAGACCTTGTCTAATGTGAGGTCTCGGAGATTCCCTCCTATATTTTTTTTCTCTAAGTTTGATCATCTTAGCTTTTATATTTGGGTCTATGGTTCATTGAGTTATATTTTATGTATGCTGTAAGCAAGTAGACCAACTTCATTCTTTTCTTTTCCAGGTGGATGTGCAGTTGTTTTACCACCATTTGTGCTGGAAAGATTATTCTCAAACTGAATTGTTTTAACCCCTTTCTTGGAAAGGATTAGGTTTGGGACCCACCCTACTCTATGACATCATTAACATAAAAAAGAAAACACCCGTTTCCAAACATGTTTACAGGTATTTTGGGGTACACAATTCGATCCTCAAAGTAGTTACATCCTAATATGCTATCCTTATTGTTAAAACGGTGCATCTCTTGTTCCGATTTGCCAGAGAATGATCTAGAGCTGATAGTGTCAAGAATTGTGTCATGCTTTTGTCAGTTCTACTTTGGACGCTTTCTAGTTCAGTCATTTCTGCCTTTGTTTGTTAAAGGACTACAGACAGCCCTCGGTATCTCAGGGGCACTGGTTCCAGGATCCCCCAGGGACACCAAAACCCAGGATGTTCAGGTCCCTTATGTAAAATAGCATAGTGTTTGCTTCAAATTATCTCTTATTGTTTTTAAATGCTGTCTAGTTGATTCTGACCCATAGTGACCCTGTATAGGGTTTCCAAGGAGCAACTGGTGAGCTTGAACCACCAACCTTGCAGTTCAAACTTTGTAGTCTGACGCTCTAGCCCACAGCTAGACCACTTAATTGCTTCTGCACCCCTCCCCTCCCCCCCACCCCCAGTATTTTTAATCATGGTTGGTAGACTCTGACTTCAGAACCTGTGGATCCACAGGGCCGGCTGTATTGGGTTATTCATTTGGAGTCGAAAGGACTTAGCTATCCTTTCAAAATTTCTAATCTCCATACCCTTTCTGTAAGTAAAGCTGTTTTTCTTAAGAGTATCAACATGCATTTTTCTCAGTTTTATTTCTAAATATTTTAAGGCAGAATTTGTTTTGTTTCTATATTGTAAGTATGATATGGTTTGTAATAGTGTTTCCATGCAGGACATTTTTTTCCTGGATTTGTTTTTTTTTTTTTTTGAAATTTGGGTGTTTTTCTGAAGTTGAGTAATGGGAAGCAAGAACCACATTGTAACTCTCCCATGAGAATTAAAACGTAACCATCAGCATGAGTTGAAGAAATCCACTTGGACACCAAGTGAAAAGCAAGAGCAGGGAATGGTGACAGGCGGAGTTGGAGGTTAGGTTAGTGTAGGATAGAAGCAATCATGAATGAACATGTAACTGTTAGCCTGTTCTAAGGTTGTGCTCTTGACCGTGTCTGTTAGTTACTGTCAGTGATTCTTAAAAAATCAGGTAACTGCCCCAGAGGGTTTTCATCCCTTAAATCTATGTGGGGGACTCTTGATTGGTGTGGTGCTGTAGGCTAAGCACTGGAATGCGAGCCACCAAGTCAGAGGTTCAAACCCACCCACTGCTCCTTAAAAACCCTATACAGGGTTGGTATGAATTGGAATCGACTCGATGACACGAACACCTCCAGTGATCTTTCTGGAACAGCAATCTTTATGGGAGCAGATACTTCTCAGTGCTGATGGGTGGGTTTGAACCACTGACCTCTTGGTTGGCAGCTGCGGTTTTAACCATTGTGGTACCAGAGCTTTATCCTAACCCTTTGGATGATGATTATGGAGACAGTAAGTCATTTAATTGGTGACTTTGACATGACTCTGGGTTAATCTTGCTGTTCCTGTGGCTAAACATCATGTTGTATTAATACTGTTGGAGTGTTTCCCAATAATGTTGACTGGCATTTGCTAGTGTTTCAGTGTTCACTGTAGGCTGATGTTATTGCAAAAACTTTAACAGAAAAATGCCAAGAGAAAAAGATGTCAGTGTTGCCAAAACACTGAAACATGAAATCTAAAAATGATCTAAATTCTGAATTCGTAAAAGCTGTTAGCAGTTTCAAGAGTAAAACCAAAATCGGGACAGACAGACAGACAGAATATATTCAGCTTGACAAAAGAAAGTAAGCATCCACGAAGCCACAGGTCCCTGACACCCCATTTGAAGATGTTGTGGATGTATTACCTCTGGAGTGCGTGTTCAAACACCAAGTGATAATTTGTGCATTTAAAATTTTTCTTTCTCAGTGTGATAACAGTGTGTATGAATTATACAGATATGAGGATCAGTCAAAAAGTATTGCTACTGGGGGTTCCAGTTCAGACATTCATGGGTTTATTCCAAACAAATTATGTTTAAATATGTCTGTGATTGGTGGTCAAGGCAGGTCGGTCAGCTTCGACGGTTGTGGTGACGATTTTTTATGGATCCATGAGGGATAGTCTTGATAGATTGTCTTAAAGGGCACAGGATGATCATGGAGCATTATGAGGAAGAAATTTTAAGAAAATGAAAGATGGTATTGTTGAGAATAAAAAAAAGAAAATTGTACCCAGGGATATCACGACAACGCACACCCGCTCATCTTCCTGATCCCGGAAACCCTCCACAGGGTCACTATGAACTAGAACCGACTCAGGGACACTTAACAAGAGCAGCAGACTTATTGACCAAAATCAGTGTATTAGTTGATGGTTTGATGTTGAAATCTCACTTTCCCTTTAATTCTCTTGCACCCAACATGCTTGAAATGTTTGTCATTTCTTATAGGGCATTGTGGAGAAATCAAAGGCCAAGGGTATCCCCATCGTCATTGACGCGGTAAGTGCCACTCTGTGCTCTCCCGACAGACACAGCAAGGATGCCCCTGACAGTGCGTGGAGTAATCCGCCCTGTCCGTGTTTCACGCAGGATGGGCTGTGGTTGGTGGCTCAGCAGCCATCCCTCATTCAAGGTTACCGGAAGGCCATCCTCACTCCCAACCACATGGAGTTCAGCAGGCTCTATGAGGCCGTGGTAAGTGCGTGAACTACCAGGTAAAAGACAAGATGTGCAAGCCCTTCTGACCCTAGAAAGAGTCTGCACCGATGCCAAATAACCCAGCTCTTCTCACATCTTTACAGTCAGGATGCTTTTTACAAGTGATGGTGCACTGGTTTACCTGTAACGGGCAGCTCCTTCCATTCTGGGTGGCACATATCCAATGGGGAGCACTGTGAAGTCAGTGACATCTTTGGAGGAAATGCGGCATGCTGGATTGGGGAAGAGTCCCTTCCTTTTCACTGTTTGATTTGGGCGCATCACTTCTGCATCGCCACTTCTGTAAAATGTTGTTGTTAAGTGCCATCGAGTCGGTTCCGACCCATAGCGACCCTGTACAGGGTTTCCGAGGGCGAAAATCTTTACAGGAGTAGAAAGCCTCATCTTTCTCCCGCAGAGCGGCTGGTAGTTTCGAACCGCTGACCTTAAGGTTTGCAGCCCGATTCGTAACCACTACGCTACCAGTAGATCGTGATAAAATGTCCCTCATACGATTTTGTGAGGAGGAAGTGAACTGCTAGACGTAAAACTGGTTAGTCTCTATCTATTAATTGCCCAGTACATGTTTGCTCTCATTACTATTGCAGTGTGTGCTACTTCTGCAAAACTCGTAAGAACCATATTGTTGGTAAGTTCCGACTCATAGCAACCCTGTATAGTGTTTCTGGTGTGGTGCTGTAGGTTCATGGGCAAGACTGCAAAGTCACTTGAACTGCATGGTTGGCGATTCAGGCTCACCAGCTGTTCCTCGGAAACCCACCCTGTACAGGGTCGGTATGGGTTGGAATCAATTCAACGGCACTTAACAACATCGGGTTTCTGAGGAGTGGCTGGTGAGTTTGAACTGCCAACCTTGTGGCTCAAACCAATCTTGTGCTCCAGTGTTTACCGTTCTTTGCCATACCAGGACTAAGTCATGAACTAACCATGCACAGTATTAACTTTGGTCTGGCAAGACACAGGAGAGATGTCTAGAGCCATGTATGCACCTGTGTCAGAACCTACCTGGGAGACTTCTCAAATTACCTTTTCTGGGCCTCCCTCCGCGCTGTCAGGGTTTGAGATCACTGTTGCACAAGACAGCAGTTGTCTGTCGGTCCTGTTGTGTGCATGTACAGACTCCGTTTTTGTCTTGGAATGAAGGAACTGTTGTTTTCCCTCTCTTCTTCTGACATCGCAGCTTAGAGATCCCGTGGACAGCACTGATCACCATGGAGCTATCCTGAGACTGAGCCAAGCCCTTGGGAACCTGACTGTTGTCCAGAAAGGAGAGAGAGATGTGATTTCTGATGGTGAACAGGGTGAGCGGGATGTTATTAATGCTGTGTGTTAGCTAGCTTGTCCCTGGCGGGTGATGAACTACAGACGACCAGCCCTGGCTGTGCCCTGTTTCTGTAAGCCAGTGCAGCTCCCACATGCGCTCAGACTCGCTTCCCTACGTGCCTGTACAACCGTAACTGCTAAGTCCATATTTTGTTTTGCGTTTCCCTGTTAAGCAATAGAAAATGATAATACTGAAAGATGTGGAGATGATGTCATGATCCTTACGTACAAACTAACAGATTCATAGGATCTAGCCCCATGGTGTCGGGGTGATTGTTACATTGGTTTGTATCTTGGATACCTATTTGATCCAATGATGCCTTGTACTGAAAACCAAACATTCAAAAGCAAAGATTATAGTATGAGGACTAAGCCGTCTTTTCAAACTCCTCATTAAGCATGTGACAATTGGATAATGAATAAGGAAAACTGTAGAAGAATTGATGCATTTGAGTTACACTGTTGGAGGAGAATGTTAAAAGAATCATGGCCTGCCAGAAGAATATACAAATCTGTGCTGGAAGAAGTACAGCTAGAATGTTCCTTAGAAGCCAGAATGACCAGACTCCATCGCTCATACTGTGGACATGTTAATCAGGAGGGACCAGTCTCTGGAGAAAGACATCATGCTTGCTCAAGTGGGGAGTTAGCAAAAAAGAGATAGATGGGCTCAGTGGTAGCATCAGTGTGCCGAAGCATCACAATTGTGAGGATGGTACAGGACCAGGTCATGTTTTGTTCTGTTGTACACACAGTCGCTGTGAGTCAGAACCAACTCGATGGCACCTAAAAACACACGTTCCCACTGTTTTCATGGATTATCTTAGAGATGCGATTCCTTTGGCCCCTGAAAGCTGTGTGCTACGTTTTTTAAGCAGGTATGGAAAATAGGTTTCCTATGATTTACCAGAACACCACCTAGAGTGCATTGTTGACGAGAATCCTGAGAGCCATCAGTCCCCCTTGTGGGAACAAGGGCTGAGGCAGGAGGCCACTCCTAGACATCTCTGCTGGAGTTCTTCCTAAGGCAGATGGGAAAGACCTGCTGACTGGGACAGGCTGTAAGCTTTGTTATCAGGAGGCAGGGGACTGACCCTTTGCTTTTATAGCTGAGTGGTAATCAGCGTTCCCATTTCAGAAGTTAGATTATCCAGATCAAAAAAGATCTCAAAAGTACATGTGAGTATTTTAAAGGTTAAGATCTTACGTTAAGATCTTACGTATATATTTTCTTCTTTAATGCATCTCAGAGATTGCTCTCCAGAAAGGCTAAGGAGTTATTTTTTGAAAACATTTTGACCAAGAACAAGTAATTCTTCTTTTTCCCTCATCTCAAGTGTAAATCAAAATAGAATTATTAAGTACTTTGCTATGTAATTACTAGATGTATAATTGTATTCTGGGAGCATGGTGGTTCCATATGATAAGCACCAGACTGCAAATCACAAGGTCAGTGGTTCGAGCTCACCAGCTCTGCCAAAATGTGAAGCATCATTTGCGGGCCGTACAAAATTATCAACTTAAAAATTAACCTGCTACGTTTAGTCAAACGTTTAGTCAAACGTTTAACTCACCCGAACCGACTTGATGGCACTTAACAACAACAACAATGCGATGGCTGGAGTCCTGGTGTGGCACTGAGGGTTAATGCAAGGTCGGTGGTTCAGGCTCACCAGCTGCCCCTCGGAAACCCGTTACAGGGTGGCTGTGGGTCAGACTGATAACCGCTGCGCACCCAGAGCTCCTTCTTGTTGTTAGGTACTGTCAAGTTGATTCTGACTCACAACATCCTTGTGCACGACAGAACGACACACCGCCCGACCTGTGGCATCCTCAAAATTAGTACGTTCAGCCCACTGCTGCTGCCAGTGTGTCAGTCCATCTAATTGGGGTCTTTTTTACTGACCCTCCAAACATGATGGTCTTCTCTAGGGACTGGTCCCTCCTGATATGTCTGAAGTATAAGAGATGAAGTCTCACCATCCGGGCCTCTTGGGAGCATTCTGGCTGTACTTCTTCCAACACAGATTGGTGTGTTACTCTGGTGGCCAGTATTTTTCCCCCATACCATAACTCAAATGCATCATTTCTCTGAGTCTTCCTTATTCATTGTTCAACTTTCACATGCAAATCAGGCACTTGAAAATACCATGGCTTGGGTCTTAGAGGCTGTCTCAAATCCTGGTAAACAAATAGGAAAGAAACAAGTCTGAAAAGAGCTTTCAGCTTGGGGCAACAGGTCACGTTCTCACAGCAAGTCTACTCCCTTGGAGAGTGACTTGAACTTGGTGCAGAAGTTAACATCTTACTTTTGGTCTGTTTTTGTCTAGTGCTCGTGTGTAGTCTAGAAGGAAGCAGCCGCAGGTGTGGAGGGCAGGGAGACCTGCTGTCGGGGTCCCTGGGGGTCCTGGTGCACTGGGCACAGCTTGCTGGGCCAGAAAAAACACATGGGTATGCTCATGTTTAAATTTATAATATTTTGTGGTTTTTGAATTTTGGAACATGTTTCACCAGCTCATACATTCAAATATGCCAAGTGTTCTATTCCATTGAAGAGATTCCGGAGCAGAGGTTAATCCTGCCCACATGTCAGGAACACCAGTCAGACTCCATGTGTAAACATGTTTAAAAAGCTTTCTAGTTAATTCACAGACATGGAGACATTGGAGGACCACTGTTTGAAAACAGAATACCAAAAAGCTATCGTAGATAACTTCACCTAAAAGAGATGGATTTCTTTGCCGAGGCAGCAGAATTCAAAGACTCAGGTTCTAGATCAGGAGCTGATGGAATGTGACACCAGGCCACACCGCCTCTGTGGGCCTCAGTTTCTTTGAAAAAGATGGAAGTGACCATAGTGGCCATATGGGCTGTGTGTGGGATGTTGAGTCTTCTGGACAGCGTGCCTCACTCAATGCCTAGTGGGAAGTACTGCGTGGTACCAGTCGCTAAGAGCCCACACTGATAAAGCCGGTACCACACACCAAAACCAGGTGTGTGTCTTCCTGTTACCCCCTGCTAAGAAAGAAGCGGAGCCCTTTCCCCCACCCTATTAGGTATACTCGGCTTTTAGTAATGGGAACAGAAATTGTGCATTGTCAGATCCTGAATATTCCTTCATATCATGGGAAAACTAAAGACCACCATTAAAATACTTCTCTAGTAAGGACTGTCTAGTTTTTCACCAGGGCACTACAGTTACCATTGAGTCAGTTATGACTCATTGTGATCCTGTGTAGGGTTTCCAAAGAACAGCTGGTAGGTTTGAATATATGTCTATACATATATTTTACCAAGTATATACAAACATCTGCTAATTGGACTTTTTTCAGGTGTACGTACAATTTAGTGATGGGTTGTGGCTAGGTGCCATCGAGTTGGTACTGACTCATGGCGACCCTATGCACATCGGAAAGGAATACTGCCTGGATTTAGTGATACAAGTTATGTTGTGTTATGCATCCACTGCCTGTTACATCACAACTCTGCATCCTCATAGACACACACTCATAGACAACAACTAATAAACTGTGGCCTCAGTACATCTGCTTAGTCTTAACCTCATTTAAGGGAGACCGTACAATATCTGTCCTCCTTTCATTGAGTGTGAGCGTTCCGAGGTTCAGCCATGTCGTAACATAGCTCTGAACTTCGTTTCTATGTTTATTTTTAATGATTCAGGCAGAAACAAGGTACCACAGTGGAAACGAGACTGAAAACCGTCCCCTGTGGGCACTGCCGGCTCACTTACCTTCAAAAGCTGATGTTCTCCACCTTTGAGGCTTTTTACTTCTTACTTTCAGTGCTTCTAAGGAGCCCTAGTGGCATAGTGGGTTAGGCACTAGGCTGCTAACCGCAGTGTCAGCAGTTCAAGTCCACCAGCCCTTCGGAGGGAGAAAGCCGAGTTTTCCGCTCCTGTGAGACATCACCGGTGTCAGAACCCGAGGAAGGAGTTCTGCTCTGTCCCATAGGATCACAATGAGTGGAGTCAGCTCACTTGACAGCAGTGTTTTTGTTACATAGCTTCTTGTTGATACCTTTCTTCCCCTTTTCCAGGTTAAACCCTTTCCTGGTGGCTGCATTTGGCGCCTGCTCCCTCACGAGGCAGTGTAACAACCAAGCTTTTCACAAGTACGGGCGCTCCACGACCACTACAGACATGATTGCGGAGGTCGGAACTGCATTCAAAAAGCTCTTTGAATCCTGAGCAGATTCCCACAGGCAGGAACATGGGTACCAACAACACAGGGAAACTGCATTTACATTGAGAAAAAGTGTGCTACAAGGCGTCTGATTACTGCAGACAGCGTGTTTCTTGGTAGATACCTCAAGCCTAGGATAAATTGGTTAACATGGAAACGTCTTAAGAACTTGGGACTACGATTTGGGCCTAAAATAGTATGTAGCTGGAGATGTTGTAATATACAAAACAGTACTCCTGAGCTTTTCTTAGTTGCTCACCAAGAATGCAGAAAGAAATGAAGAGAAATCACATGAGTTGAGCTGGTGAAAGAATTTTCCATTCTCAATTTCTTGGCTTACTCCAAGGTAAACAACGTTCCCTTTTTAGTCTTTCTGAGGTTTTTCTTCTCATTGTCTACTGGTACATGGAATTTTTCTTTTATTTATTCAATATTCCAGTCAGTTGCTTTCAAATATCTATGTGAATAATGAGCTGTTTTTTTCAATTGTTTTTATTTTTAATTTGACGTCCACTAAGGGATTTGGTTCCCCAGTTTTTGTTAAAAGCCAATGGGGTTGAAAAATCTCTGGGCAGAAATACTAAACATTAGCTGTTTGAATTCACAAGCACTTCAGAGTCAAGTGGTAACTGATGTTAGGGATCCTGTAGGAGGCAAGGTGAGGAGATGGGGCGGAGCCTCAAACTGGCTTCTCTGACACCGAAGGTACAAGGGGCAGAGGAAGGCTTTCCCGCCATGCATCTCAGGTTAGTTTTCAGTTTCTGTTTGCACGTATGTACTAGTGATGACTAACAGGTATCAGCAGAATAAACACAGATTGCAGTTCATTGTTTCTAATGTGGGCATGGGCTGGGGCGGGGTGTGTGTGTGTGGGGGGAACCCAGTAAGTGAGACTTGGCCATGTCATTTGTGCGTGTTGAGTCTGGCATGGTGGTAGCACTAAGAAAAGGCTCAGTTATTGGGATCCTTCTGTCTACTGCTGACACAGGACCACTGTGCCATGTGTTAGGTACACTCCATTATATGAGATGTTTAATCGTACAGTATTTGTTGTATCTGCTGCTTAAGATGGGCTGGCATTTGGTATCTAACACATGATGGAGTTGTTGGGTAAACTTTTGCTTTTTCTACAACAAATGCAAATCCTCTATGGTTCCTTTATTGCCCATGGTGATTATCAGTAATTCAAACTACCTCACCCCAAGCTGATTTTACTTTCCTTCAAATAATTATTAGTTGACTGTTGATGATTGTTAAAAAATGTTTGTTATTCTTATTTCACATCTTCCTCTAGAATCTTCACCACCTACATGTGAATTTCTCTGGAAAAACTGGTAAGGGATGTTTTGCCCTTTGGCTCACTGTATTTGAACACTGGTAACTATTAAAAGAAAAATGTGATTTATTTAAATGTAGAGTTCTATATTTTTTTATAAATTAAATATCCAAAAACCATCTTTCAATATCCAGCAACTGAGGACATTCTATCTGATACTTGGGAGAATCTGTCTAATACTAGGGAGATAAAAATATGTAAACCTGTATCTATAAAAATGTATGCTTTTTAAACTAATTCATACCAGTACCGTCCGAACTAAGTAATTTAACCAAGAAGTCAAACAGCCTTCTTTTCCCGTAGAAAATTAAACATAGGAAAAGTCAGGTACTGATTCGTTTTTCTAAAAGAGTAGGATTGCTGGTGACTTTATTTTCTTCTATGAGAAACTCATTACTTTTGCAGTATTACCTTTGTTGTTGTTGTTAAGTGCCGTGGAGTCGGTTCAGACTCATAGCGACCCTGTACAGGGTTTCCGAGGCTGTAAATCTTTACGGGAGCAGAAAGCCTCATTCTCCCGCGGAACAGCTGGTAGTTTCGAACTGCTGACCTTGCGGTTTACAGACCGATTTGTAACATCTACGCTTCCAGAGCTCCTTATTACCTTTAGCGGGGGGAAAAGACGCCTGCAGTCACCCTGGACCCTTCCTCTGCACCCAGATACCGTCTCCCCTGTTGAGGGCCTTGCACGGGCTGCCTCCCATCCTGCTACTTTTAGGTTCAGGGCTGTACTGTCCGGCCTTTGGACACAAGGACCAGCTGCATTTTATTCAACACATTTTGCTGACTTGGCTCCCAAGGCTCACCATATTGTGCTGACTGCATGTTGCTGGGATGCTGGCAGTGAGGCCGCAGACATTTCAGATACCACCAAGGTAACCTGTAGCAGACGGGTGTGACAGACTAGGAAGAAAAGCCTGGTGACCTAAGTATGCAAATACGCCAGTGAGAACCTTATGAATCACAACAGGACACTCCCCACCTCGCTGGCTTTATACAACACCTCCTCAGGCAGGCTCCACTGCTGCAGGAGGGCGCCTTGCTGGGAGAGGAATGGGCGCCATGACCGTGCTGATGGTCTCAGACGGCATATGCTGGTGACTGAGGACGGTGCAGAACCGGACAAAGTTGCCTTCTATCGTACCAGGTCACTTATGTGTCTGTGGTTCCTGGGGCTATGATCACATTTCACGCTTTAGGAAACTAACATGCCAGTGGGACAGCATCAGTGTAATTCGTCTCAGTGTCGGCTTAGTAGCCACAATAGAAGGGAACTTTAATGTAAAGTTTTATCGTACATACAAGATAGAGAAGCTGTGCTGGGAGAAGTGAAGTTCCACATGGTTCATCTCAGCCTCAGTCTCCTGGTTTCTGGTCTTTCGTCCTTTCATCCAGTAGTTCCCATGTAGAAGCTGCACCACTTCTGTCCTGTACAGAGGGCAATAGGATCTAGACTACCTGAACAGATACCACATTGGCTGCAGAGGTTAGGGCAAGATGAGAGTTTACAGAGTGAGCAAGGACATGCTGCCCACTCTTAATGTCTAGTCTACTCTAAAGGAAGCCGTGGAACACTTTACAAACAAGAGGGAGGCTTGTTGCAACCTTGTACCGAAACACTCGTGCAGCCCACCTACTCTAATGTGGTGGAAAGCCTGACTGTAAGCATTGTAAGAGATCATTACAACAAACACAGTAAAATGAGCAAATGAGCCAAAAGGGTGGGCAGCTTTACTCAATAAGAACATCGCCCCCTATGTCCTATGTTTACGGACTGGGCACCGTGCACGCATCATCTCCTCGGTAGTATCGGGGTGACTAGCCCCACCTCCCTGGCAGTGGCTCACCTTAATGCTGATGTTGTGTATGATGAGATCCTTGCGCAGAGCATCACACGCCTGAAGCAGGGGCTGCCTCTCCAGGAGCTGCTGCCGCCGGACCTCCCGGGAGGCCTCCTGCGTGGCCAGGGCGTACTGACGCACCGTCTGCCGAAACCGGACCAGCTCGTCCACCACGCTGCACAAAGTGGCCGTGCTGCTGTCTCCTGAAGTCCACTAAATACAGGCCCAGGGTTACTGCTCAGCGAGGTACTGTGATGCCCACCTCGTGACAGACGCCAGGAGCCCGTGCTGTGCTGTGTGCACAGTGAGTTCTGTGCAAAGAGCAAGTCAGCACCAGTCTTCCCCTGTGCTGCTGAAACAGAACCTCTTTATAGAGATCTCAGTGGCTGGCTGTTTTCATTAGGGAAGGAGACAGAAGTGACGCAGTTGCCGGGCTGTTTACAAGTCTTCAGTTACACTAAGCAGCAGCCCTAACTTTCCAATTTGGCTGATCTTTTCTGATTATGTCAAAGTTCAGGCAACAGCTAACCACTGAGGAGTCAGGAGGAAAGGGCTCTGCTGGGATGTGCTCCCTCCTCCCCCTGTCCTTCCTCTGCGATGGGCCTGAGATGCTGTTTCAGGTGCCTGCTGAAAGAGCACATTCCAGGGCTCTCACGGCCCACTTCCCAAGAATGAGAACTAGGTCTCTGGGGATTCTTGTTATGTGCTGTTGAGTTGATTATGACTCATAGCGATCCTGCATGGGGTTTTGATGGAGCAGCTGGGGGGTATGAATCACAGACCTTCTGGTTCACAGTCCAGGGCATACTGTACAGCGGTACACCAGGACTCCCCGGGGGTCCTTAACTCACACTAATCTTTTGAGAATCACTCTTCTAGAGAGTTAACAGATACTTACGGTCCTCTGTCACTAAGATGAAGCTAGAAGTCTAAGCTGTATGAACTAAGGAGTTATATTTGTATGTATGAAATGCATTCACTGTAATCAAACATTTAAGACAATGTAGACATCCCATGGAGTCCTGATGTGGCACTGCAGGATGATGCATGGGAACACAAGGCTGGTTTGAACCACAGGTTGGTGGTTCAAAGTCACCAGCTGCTCCTCAGAAACCCTATACAGGGTTGCTATCAGTCAGACCCGACTCCACAGCACTTAACCACCGCAGACATCCTATATATAAGGTACACAATGCATATGTATAAACACATAATATGTTTTAACTGAATAATCAGACCAGCAATTTCCATGATCAAAATGACCAACAAAAGCAGTGTATCCCATGTAAAACATGTATCCCATATAAACATGGTTTGCATTATGACACTTCTTCATTCCATCATGGACGATGAATCCTGGGATGGCTCAGAGAGTGAAGCTATTAATGTCAACACATGTCAGTTAAGAAAGAACCTACAACTTATTTTTTTAACTTTTCGGTCAAGCGTTTTAAAACTCAAAACGACCTTTATTTATTGCTTCCAAAAGCAAAGATGGTTTTTTGCTATTATAAAAATGCAGCCCAGATGCCAGCATCTGAGTTTGGGGGGAGGTGACTTAACTCTTTTTTTGACAAAGGCCAAACATGACTTGGCCAAATAAAGACTCCTTTCCTTAGTTTAGTGATAGCAATCTCTGGAAAGCTTTATCAAAAACTGAATACACACACTGCAAGAACTTGGTCATCTCAGACCAAGGAGTTAAGTCTAAGGACTTTGATCTGAACAGCTAACCGTAATAGACATGAAATCAACCGATAAAATGTTTTGTATTTAGGTAAGAACAACCCAGTTCTAAGAGTCCTTGGAGACCAGGACCCACTTCCTCAGCTGGGGAGGAGTCGCCGAGGCCGGATCACAGTGGCTCCAAACAGGGGCAGCCTGGAGACTCCCAGAGCAGCAAGGTGTGTGGGCAGCTGAGATCAAACGGCTGTACGCCTACCAAAGCACCCACGCTGGCAGAAGTGCCGGGTTGTTACCATAAAGGAACCAGCTCAGATGGGCTGGGGCTCTGAGGGCAGCTGAAGGCTAACGCACACCTTCCCCCGCCATCGGTGGTTGCTGTAACCGCAGAAATGACAGTCCAAATATGTTTCTATGTTTGTTTTTTTAAAAAAGTGTTGCATATACAAAGGGGCTTTGAGAAAGCTCATGGAATAATTCCAGTATCATTTCATTCCATTTTCCAAAAACTTAAAAGCCCTTTTGTAAAGATTTTTGTTTTCTTAAATGGGTGCAATTCAGTCTTTAAAACCATTGGGTGCCTCCATGGAGAGCCAGCCTGGTGGGGTGAGGAGAGAGTGGTCTGCAACTAGTGCACTTGGTTGGACTGTTGGAAGCCAAGTGGGGCGAACAGGGAGACCTGGTGTGGGGCACCAGAGGGCAGCCTGGTCAGGAAGGTACTCACATAGGGGGGAGAGGGTGTTGGCAATGGAAAATGGGTACATCTATATAGGAGGAACACGAAAATAAGTAAATTTAATCAGGATATGGGGAGCCAGGCTGCTCCACATCAGAGACGGGAGTTACATGAAGAAAACTAGAATGAACCCTTTGCTGTTAGGAGATACTGGTGATAAAGCCTAGATTTCAGTTAACATAGATCGATACAGACATTTAGATGTAAGTGTGTATGTGTGTGTGTCGCCGAGGTTCTAGAAAGAGCTACAACCCAAGAGCAATAAACACAGTGAGTGTTCAGACCTTCACTACAAAACACCATTCTCTACTAGAAATGGGTCACTCCCAAGTTGGAGTCCTGGTGTGGCATTATGGGATTAAGCGGTGGCCTGTAAATTTGGTTTAAGCTACAAGACTAGACGTTCTAACTCATCAGCTGTTCTTTGGAAACCCTATACAGGGTTGCACTAACAACAACAATGGTTGGAGCAAAAGAAAGGATGAGAAGAGCCTGGAACATCAAGGGCCCTAAAGCAGATGCAGAAGAATGGCGGGGTCATGTGGGAAGGACCCGGAGCCAATTTGAAGAGGCTCCCACTGGCCAAATCCAGTACACTTTGAGCATTATAAATAACGATAGCAGTGGATTTTAACTCCTACACTAAAATACAAAGCCACAGACTAGTCTGATGAATCTCAAAGTATTTTCACAGTTTCTCTTCACAAACTCCTTTTCAATTATCAGAAGAAAAGAGTTAACAGTGGAAAGGTTTGCCGGCTGTCACCTTAATTAAGAGTAAACGTCACCAGCGAGGAGGCAAATCAAAAGCAAGCATCACCTTGCTGAGAAGTGCCACAGTCCTGCCAAAGCGCACAACCAGAATCAGGTGATGAGGGACAGCAGACAGATGTGGCCTGTGCCCTCCCCGAGAGTCAAGGTCAGGAAGGCTGAAGGGATTGGGAGGAGGAGGCTCGAGCTAAACGCAACATACGGCTCTGAACTAGATCCATTTGCTATCAGAAAAACCAGAAAACAAACAAACATGTGGCCATGGAGTGTGATTCCAACTCAGTGACTCCTAGCTATAAAGGTCTCTGTTGAGACCACTGGCGAGGCCTGAATGGGTCTGGGGATTAGATGGTGGCAACACAATGCTAACGCCCCATGGGGATGGCTGTCACAACTATGGCTATGGAGGGAGGTGGCCTTGTTTATAGGAAACCGGCACTTAGGTTTTCAGGCTCGGTGGGGTTTCAAGTTAAATAGCTCAGGGGAGGGAGAAGCTCTTCTACTGTACTTGTGACTTTTCTATAAATTTAGAGATTCTATAAATTTTCTTTAAATTTAGAGATAAGAAACACAAGAGATGAGTGTGCACAGAAATGATGACAGCTTGTTTTGTGTAGTTAAAATGCACTGATTACTAGCTCTGTTAATGAAAGTGTGTGTACTATTTCAGTTTCAATAGACAAGTGAAAATTGGATCTGAGTGTATTTTTTGAAAAGTAATATATTTTAAGCATATAAATGAATGAATTTGGCATTATAATTATCCATCAAAAATGAACATTTTAAAAGGGGAAGAAAAAGGTTATTATTGCACAGCTGTTCTTAGAGATAATCCCACAAGTAAGTTTTTATGAGAGGTATGTACCTGTTGATTTGCCGGAGAGATTCCAACAGTGTCTAAAAACTCTTCAATGTAGGAGACCATGGCGCCAAACACAGCAGGACTTCGAGGACCAGCTGTTTCCTGTAACAAATCCCCCACTGAAGGCTCTGCACAATCAGCCTTGATGTTAGTGTGCAAAGGAAATGTTTAGCTGTTAACTTGGCTGTAAAAGAACGAAGACTTAGGTAGCTCTCTGCCAACTGTTGCTTTTCTTCATGTATAGTGAAGACACAAGCCCTGTGACTAGACAGTTTGGGTTCAATACTGGCTTTGCCACTTGAGAGCAAGTTAAATGCTCTGGGAGCCACCTAATCTCTTGGAGCCTCATCTACAATTTGGGGGCAATTACAGGACCCATTCCTGGTACGGCACTGTGGGCTAATAAATCAGACTGCAAAGTTGTTTGAACTGCAAGGTCGGTGGTTCAAGCTCACCAGCTGCTCCTTGGAAATCCGATACAGGGTGGCTGTGGATTGGAAATGACTTGATGGCCCTTAACAACAACAACAAAGCTCATGAGGAGTCCTGGTGTGGCACTGCACTTTAATGCACTGGACTGCAAGGTCAGCTGCTCAAACTCAAGGTCACTGTGAGTTGGAATCAACTGGACTCCACTTAACAACATAGCTTTTATACCTCTTGAGGGTTACACATGATCAGGCACAGTGAGGGAAGGCGAGGTGGGCACAGGCTGAGTTTCTCAGTCCTGTTCTACACATGCTGGTGGTGGTATGTGCCTTTGATTTGGTTCCCACTCAAAGCAACCCTGGTCAGGGTTTCAGAGGAATAGCTGGTGGGTTTGAACCACTGAACCTGTGGTTCGCGGTCCAGTGATTATACATATTGTTATGTGCCGTTGAGTCGGTTCCGACCCATAGCGACCCTGCACAGGGTTTCTAAGGCTGTAAATCTTTACGGGAACAGAAAGCCTCATCTTTCTCCCGCGGAGTGACTGGTAGTTTCAAACTGCTGGCCTTAAGGTTCGCAGCCCGATTCGTAACCACTACGCTACAAGAGCTCCTTCACCCTGCACATATATCCCTACTTAACTCTCGCAGCCCATGAGATTGTTGTTGTTAAGTGCCGTCGAGTCAGTTCCGACCCATAGCGACCCTGTACAGGGTTTCCGAGAGTGTAAATCTTTACGGGAGTAGAAAGCCTCATATTTCTCCCACGGAACGGCTGGTAGTTTTGAACTGCTGACCTTGCGGCTCGCAGCCCAATTCGTAACCACTGCGCTACCAGAGCTCGGTGACTGGTAGTTTCAAACTGCTGGCCTTAAGGTTCACAGCCCGATTCGTAACCACTACACTACCAGAGCTCCTTCACCCTGCACATATATCCCTACTTAACTCTCGCAGCCCATGAGATTAGGACTACTATATATTGCATTAAGCTGTGCTGTCTCCTCTGTGGCGCCAGCAGCAGACCGTAACCGTGGACTATAGGACCTCTCCGGATTCTTCCAGAAGGAAAGGTTCCTCAGTAGGTGCTTGGAAACCGCAAGCTGTGTAAAACTCGGCCACCCCGAGAGTGGCCATACCTTGCTCTGGAATCTTTCCTTATTGGCAAAAAACAAAACAACTCATCTGTCAGCACCCACGGTAGGCCTATGGGATCCACCACACCCTAATGAGTTACCTGAGTAACTGCCTTAAGCTCTCTGTTCCCATGGTGAATGAGGTCCACAACAGCATCTAAAGCTCTGGGCGTGTCCAAGTCATTGGCAAATGCAGCCTTCACGGCCACTTTTGTGTTGCTTAGTCTTTGAGGAAAAGGAAGGAGAGAAACGAACAGGTCAATTACAATAAAAGGAAACTTGAATGAGAAACAGAACCAATAGGCATTTCTTCAACCTTCGCATCTGACATTGTGATGGTAAGTTCATCAGTCTCAAAGTGCCATGTCATTGCTTCAAGAGCTCACACCTCCTCGTCCAAGAAGAAAGGGTAGTGATTTTAACTTTGGGGGCTCTTTCAGGTCACAATCATAAAGACTTGCTAAATTTTCTCTTTTTAATAACACTGTGGTATGGCACTGTAAGATCAGCACTGGACTGGTGACCACAGGTGCACGGTTCAAACCCACCAGCTGCTCTTAGGAAACCCTATACAGGGTCGTTATGTGTGAGAACCAACTCAACAGCACTGAACAACAATAAAGCTATACTCTGGAATCGTAGCTAGCTCTCAAGCTAATCTTACTAGGTAAGATCAACTCAAAATCAATATCCAAATTAAAGACGCTGGAGTAAGGGTAACCTATAAAACTTGGGTTTGAACACACAATATACACACTTGAGCACTTTCACAAGCGTTTAAGACCTCACTGTTGTTATGTGCCGTGGAGTCGGTTCCAACCCATAGTGACCCTGTACAGGGTTTCTGAAGCTGTAAATCTTTATGGGAGCAGAAAGCCTCATCTTTCTCCTGTGGAGTAGCTGGTATAGTTTCAAACTGCTGACCTTAAGGTTCACCGCCCGATTCGTAACCACTAAGCTACCAGAGCTCACTAGTGAGAGAGTAAATGGAGGTGGTATAAAATGACATGTCTCATGCAAAAGTGGTATCAAGTGAAGACAAAGGTGGGAGGAAACAATGGCGACACAGTCTTGCTTACATCACACACCAAGCAGGATGGAGAGGGTCTGGACACGAAGGTAGAACACCTGGGCCTTAACCCTTGCTCATCACCAACTTTATCAATGTGGGCCAAGCACTCAGCCAGTCTGTCAGATGAGAACAACATCCACCGTGCAATCCCAAAGAGGCAGAGCTAGCTGAGATGGTAAACATACTGGATGATGTACCTGAATAGGACTGGAGTCACAGGGGCTGGATGAAACTACTGCCCAGAGACAGTCTTTTAGATAGAAATCCAAATTCTCCCCTGACATCTCCTTAAGACTTCATCCTCACAGCATAAGCTCACAGATCTAACGTCCTGCTATCTGTAGTACTTGTTAGTGATGGTCATCCTATACTTCTCCCGGAGCAGCAGGTGGATTTGAACTGCCAACCTTGTGGTTAGGAGGCCACTCTGATCCTACAGTGCCACTGGGGTTCCACACTTGTTAACTCCTGAGGCAAGTTAGGTTTTAATCACTTAGACCTGTCTTCCTACCTATTCCTGACATTCTACTCAATTTTCAAAGGTCCAACTCATCTACCAAAAGAAAACAACAACAACCCACCCCTACTGCCATCAGGTTACTTCTGGCTGAGAAGTGCTTCCTAGGGCTTTGAGCTGTAGATCTTTACAGAAGCAGACAACCACATGCTTCTTCAGTGCAGAAGCTGGTGGGTTCAAACCCTGACCTTTTGGTTAGCAGGCCACTGACTTGCTTAACCCACTGTTATCAGCAGGGCTCCTTTTCCCTAACTTGTCTAGTTATCTGTGAATCTTCCTTTGATTATACAATTTTTGTTCAATGTCATTGAGTCAGTTCAACTCCTAGTGACCCTGCATAGGGTTTCCAAGGAACAGCTGGTGGGTTTGAATGGCCAACTTGCAGTTAGCAGTCCAGTGCTTATCCTAAGTGATAAAAACCACTATTTACTCCTCAATGACAATCAACAGTAAGCCACTTTGCCCAGCATGGGAACCATAGTCCAGGTTCATTATCTCCTTCACAACCACCTGGACACAGGATTGCTTCCTTTTTCTCCACACAAGTCACAAAGCTAGGAAGGAAGGAGCCAGGACTTAAAACTGGTTCTGTTTGGCTCCAAAGCCCACGTACCTTCCCACACCACCCACTTCCTAGTGAAAGGCCCTCAATGTCTAAGAAGGCTGTCTTCACTCAGCATCATTCAGTAGCTACTCACATCTGGCCTCAGAGACAGCCCTAGGTTTGGGCATGAGGAGTGGGGCAATGGTTGCACAGCTCACCTTTCCCACAACTGCTCTTCCCCGATGGAGGCACACACCAGCTGTCCTCTCATATAGGCCCGTGCGTCCGCAATGAAGGAGGATATCCCAAGGAGGAGATGTTGGGCTTCCTGCATCGTGGTGTCGCTGTAGTCTACAGCTGAGAAGAAAGAAACCATTAGCTGAGGTGAGGTTGACATTTAACACACCCTACAACAAGCAGATACGATGACATGAAAACTTTCCACAGTGTTTTTGTAGAGTGGCCTTGCCAGTTATGGTCTATCCTAACACTGCTCTAGAACCCAGCAGGCGTGGCCCTGCCCTGACATGGCTCTAGAACCCAGCAGGCGTGGCCCTGTACTCACACTGCTCTGTTGTTATGTGCCGTGGAGTCGGTTCTGACCCATAGTGACCCTGTACAGGGTTTCCGAGGCTATAAATCTTCACGGGAGCAGAAAGCCACATCTTTTTCCTGCGGAGCCGCTGGTAGTTTCCTACCGCTGACCTTAAGGTTCACAGCCTGATTCATAACCTGTACACTACCAGAACCCAGCAAATGGGGCCTGCACTGACCCTGCTCTAAAACCAGCAAATGTGGCCTGCCCTGCAACCACTCTAGAACCAGCTGGCATAGCCTGCCCTGCAACCACTCTAGAACCAGCTGGCATAGCCTGCCCTGCAACCGCTCTAGAACCCAGCAGTCATGACCTGTCCTGACTCCACTCTAGAACCCAGCAGTCATGGTCTGTGGTGACACCGCTCTAGAGCCAGCAGATGTGGCCTGCCCTGACACCACTGCAGAAACAAACAGCAGAAGTAGCCTGCCCTGCCACCACTCTAGAACCGAGCAGGTGTGACCTGCGCTAACAGCACTTTTAGAACCCCACAGAATTAAAGCCATAGCTGCTCTCCCCGTACTGTATTCCCTGAATCACCTCTGACACTTTCTTAACTAAAGGACCAAGCAACCTTGGAAGAAACTTTTAGAACATATGTGGACCGACAAGGGCTCATCCTCACTGACAGACAGCTGACAATTACTAACTAGGAAACTTCTGATCTTCCCAGATACCTGTTGGAAGATCAGAAGCGCCTATAATGAAATGTGCTCATTGGCTGCAGTGAGGATTTTAGTTCAGCATTTCAGGAAAGGGGTAAGGGCCGTGGTCCTGAGATGCAGCAGGTCATACATAAAACCAGGTTTAAAAACACTTATTCTACAAAGCCCATCTGGCCTCGTGGGTCACTAGACCACCACTCTGTCTAGCCCCTGCCCACCACCACCAGGGCGTAAGACAGGCTAAGAGACGGCTGCTGCGTTAGCTGCTCACCAGCCTGACTCAGCCTGTCTCATGCACAATGGGACAGTGCGGCCCAGGTCCCCTGATCGGTTACACATTGGACCATTTGTATTCACTGGGTTTTCTATGGCTGATCCTTCCTTCGGACTCTTAGTCTAGAAACTCCACGGAACCTGTTCAACATCTTGGCAACACACATGCCTCCACTGACAGATGTGTGATGGATACATATGAGGTGCGCTGGCTGGGAATCAAACCTGGGTCTCCTGCATGAAAGTCGAGAATTCTACCACTGAGCCATCAGTTCCTCTTGGGAGAGAGGGAGATACATGGGCAGATGACTGAACAAGTGTTAGGGCAGCGACCAGTGGTGCGGGTGGTGGAGACGGATGGAAGTAGCGTGTAGAGCAAGAGGATGAGGAAACAGGCCGATGTTCTCTCTGATGAGGTCACAGAGCCCCCATTTATATAAATAGCCCCATGGACTATTTATAATCCATGTGGAAGAGGGACCCAGACCCTCTCTCCTTGCAATGCATCAGCCAGCCAAGGGCACTCCCAGATTTCCAAGCAGAAATTGTAGTTCTCTCTTTCAAAATCAACCAAGGCATCGTCTAAAATAATGAAACCTCTCTGCTCTAACCGCTTGTGTAATCATCATCCCAGGAAAGAATTCTTTGTATGGGTCACCTGTTTCATTAGATGAATCAAAGAAAAGGTTGGGGTGTGGGAAACAGTGATGACGGACAGTAAGCTCTGGAATTCTTAAGAGAATATGATGAACAGAGCAGAACTTCTTCAATTTCAGCAACAGAATGAGCTATCTGCTGTTGTTAAGTACTGTTGAGTCAGCTCTGACTCATTCTGACCCTGTGTAGGGTTTCTGAGGAGCAGCTGGTGACTTTGAACCACCAACCTTGCGGTCAAGTGTCCATCCTACAGCGTCACACCCAGACTCCAAAAGAGCAGTCTACTTGGCAATCATTAGGAACGTTTCAGTCCCGTTGGGGCAGGAAGTTATAACTTATAGATGGGGGAAAGACACGAGGGTTTGAAAGCTTTGAGGGTGTAACATAAGCACAGTGCTAATGAGTGTGGGCTGCGTGGTCAGACGGCGGATGGGTGAATCCCGGGCCCACTATTTTCTAATTGCGGTCATGAGGAAATTGCTAAATCCTTTTTGAACCTCAGTTTCCCCAACTGAAAAAATAAAAAAAGAAGACCCATAATAGTATCTAACACCATAGAGTAAGGATCCCTGGTGGCACAACAGTTAAGTGCTCAGCTGCCAACCACAAAGTCAGTGGTTCAAACCCACCAGCCATTACCGGAGAGAAGCGATCTTTCCATCTACTCCAGTAAAGGCTACAGCCTAGGACACCTCATGGGGCAGTTCTGCTGTGTGATAGAGGGTCACTTGGAGCCAGAACTGACACAACAGCACACAACGATGCTTACCAACCACCGATCAGTGAAACGTACTGAGTAAATACAAGGTGCTCTGGTAGGGTAGTGGTTACAAGCCGGGCTGCTAATCACATGGTCAGCAGTTCAAAACTATTAGTCTTTCTGTGGGAGGAAGATGAGGTTTACTGCTCCCATAAAGATTTACAGCCTTGGAAACCCTATACAGGGTCGCTATGAGTTGGAACTGATTCCACGGCACATGACCACCACCACTGAGGAGATACAAGCAAAGTATCTAGAACAGCAATCCACACAGGTTACTTATGACCACTATTATTACTCAGAGAAGTATTTAATGAAAGATATGGGTCCCAAATCTCAGTATGAAGGAAAAAGAAAGGAAAATCACCACATGTGATCTAAAAGAATACTAACATGTAAATTAAATATAACTCCCAGTTGTAGGGGTAAAAAAAAATCTCTAAAAAAGAGGCAAAAATAACCATCCACCAAAAATCTATTTTTGGGAGGCAGGACATAGACTTTCTAAGCCATTTATTAGCCTTTAAATTAACAATAATATGACTAAACAAGTGATAAATATACGTTATTGTGGTTATGTGCCATGGAGTCGGTTCCGACTCACAGCGACCCTGTCCAGGGTTTCCAAGGCTGTAAATCTTTACGGGAGCAGAAAGCCTCATTTCTCTCCCACGAAATAGCTGGTAATTTCAAACTGGTGACCTGCGGTTCGCAGCCCAATTCGTAGCCACTACGCTATAGTATCCCTTTTATTGGGGGAGGGCAGTGGCTCCACACGATAACCACTGGAGTACAAACTACTAAGTCGGTGATTTGAAACCACCAGCTGCTCTCCATGGGACAAGGACGAAGAGGTAAAGCCTTAGAAACCCTCTACAGGAGCAATATGAGATGGAACCAACTCAGTAACACTTAATAACAACAACAACTTCTTTCTTATTCATATAAGAATGCAATTAAAACTGACATCATCCCAGTGTTTTGAATAAAACATGCCCAAGACTGTGCTCTCCCCGAAGGTAACATTCCTATCAGCTCCTCAGAGACACCCATGGATACTCACTGCCACGTGAGGAGGACACAGAGAATGAAAACTAAAAGTCAGCCATCGTTTTCTGAGTACTGGACTGGCACAGCGAATTTCACATCGTCTTCAAGAAACCGATTGTGTAAACTAAATTTCAGTGTTGGCTAGAATCCAGATGAATCATAACAAAACAGAGATTTTAGATGTAATGAACTAAATCCAGGCTTCATGCGATGGAGATCATCTCAGAATGTCTATAAAAAGCAAAGACTACATGGATTCTAGAAGTAGCATTCCTCTCCCAAAGATTTGAAAATGTAGAGACATAAAAGAATCAAGAGATGGGATCCTTTATTATAATAATAATAATAATAAAATGGTATCTGATCTTTGCAGAGTAACAGTATGTGTTTTTAAAAATACAAATAAGGGGAAGTGAGGGAAAAACAGCAGTGAAGCTGCGAGCTAAGTCTTACAACGTTCCATAGAGACCTGTGAACCTAGGTGGAGACCTGGTTGGTTGGCCAGCAGTGTGGCCAGACCTGGGGACTCTTGGGCCCAGAGTCAGTGAC